GCGAAGAGGAGGGGGTGGGGGTCGGGAGGGGGGGGGGGGGGTAGAGGGTAACGTGGTGACAAGGACACATATGTAATATCTTAATCAATAAAAAATATATTAAAAAAAAAATCAGGAATAGTCCACAAACGGTTGCAGAACATCTTTTTCAGCATTCTTAAATCTTATTTAGCTTGGTCAAGAAACTAGCATGGTAAAAAAAAAAAACAACAACTAAAGTTCCACAAAATAAAATTTAGTTTTGCAAATATTTTATTTCATTTTATGCTGCTTCCGTTGTATTTTAAAGACATAAAATTAAAATGAAGGTTTAGAAATGTTTCAAAATAATAGGCTTCCTTACTTATCCTGACCAGGGATCAAACCCCGTAACCTTTTGGAATATGGGATGATGCTCCAACCAAATGAGCCACCCAGCCATAGCTCAAACAGGTGTGGTTTTTCTTTCTCACATCAATTATTTCTATTGATATTTAACATATTAAAACTGAGACTTTTTAAGATTCCAGTAATGCATGAATAGTCCACAAACGGTTGCAGAACATCTTTTTCAGCATTCTTAAATCTTATTTAGCTTGGTCAAGAAACTAGCATGGTAAAAAAAAAAAACAACAACTAAAGTTCCACAAAATAAAATTTAGTTTTGCAAATATTTTATTTCATTTTATGCTGCTTCCGTTGTATTTTAAAGACATAAAATTAAAATGAAGGTTTAGAAATGTTTCAAAATAATATAACTTAAACTAACACTGTCTGTAACCTACTTTAACACTGCCATTTCAAAAACACTTCAAGTCAAAATACTGCTTTAAGCCAAAACATGTACATTTTAGATTATAAAACTATGCTCACATCCTAATTATACATATTTGGATTCCTAGACCACAGATTATCAAAATCTCTTTACCCTACTAAAAGTTATTCAGAATCGCAAATAAGACTTGTTCTTTTTTTCCATCATCACCAAGGAAATATATATATATATTTTTAAAATATATTTTTATTGAAAATAAAAGGAAAGAAGAGGGAGCGATAGAAACATCAATGATAAGAATCATTGATTGGCTGCCTCATGCATGATCCCCACTGGGGAAAGAGGCCGCAACCCGGGCATGAGCCTTTACCAGGAATCTGGTTCACAGGTCTATGCTCAACCGCCTAGCCACACCAGCTGGATGTGGGTATATGTTTTAACTGATTTTTAGTGAGGAAGACAGAGAAACATTGATGTGAGAGAAACATTGATTGGTTGGCTTCCTTACTTATCCTGACCAGGGATCAAACCCCGTAACCTTTTGGAATATGGGATGATGCTCCAACCAAATGAGCCACCCAGCCATAGCTCAAACAGGTGTGGTTTTTCTTTCTCACATCAATTATTTCTATTGATATTTAACATATTAAAACTGAGACTTTTTAAGATTCCAGTAATGCATTTCAATCTAACAACTACAAAACTATTATTTATTACATAATTAATATTGAATGAAAAATAACTATTTGAAAAACAAATTATTGAAAAAGATGGTATTTTTAATTTTTTTATTCCATTCATTGGACTGACATCTATATATATAAAAGCCTAAGTGATCAAACGACTGGTTGCTATGATGTGCACTGGCCACCTGACCACCAGGGGGTAGACACTCAATGCAGGAGCTGGCCCCAGATGGTCAGTGCACTCCCACAGCCAACCTCCTATGGCCAGCCAACCTCCCGCAGTCCCTCCCCCGGACTAGGCGAGAAGGCCTGCCGGCACACCTGACAGTGCCACCGGCCTCCTGGAAGTTGGCCTTAGGCACTGTGGCCGTTTCCCCTCCCTAGACACTCCGCAAGGAAGAAACGATATAAAAGCGGCTGCCAGGTGGCTCCTGACAACTGGCACGGATATATCCGGGACAGATCTGGATTCCAGGCCAGCAAGGGCATCCCACTGCCTGCCTCGAGGGCTGATTGCATCCTTGCCCCTCACCCCCCTTGGGATGGGCGCCAGATGCAGGGCTCATGGCTGGCAAGCAGTGGTACAAGCCTCTCCTGATCCGGACT